ATGTTTTAGATGAAAAAAAAAAATTATAGTTGACTAAAACTAAAACCATTTAAAAAAATTTAGCTTTTACTTGAAATAAAATAAATGTTAACTGAAATAAAAGAAAATATAAAAAACTGCCAAGGCAACATTTCTCATTTTAATTTAGTTTAACTTGATCAGCTATATTTACTAAAACTAAAACTGAAAAAAAAAACAATATAGACATTAAAAAAACTATACTAAAAATTACAAAAATGTAAAAAAATGCCAAAACTTTAGCTAAAATTAAAATGTAAACAGAAAAAAAATTATTCAAAATATAAATACAAATTTTAATAGTATCTCAATTATACTAAAATAACACTAAACCTTGCTTATATTCTGGTAAATCCAATTGTCTTTTATGTGTCAGTGTATATAGTTGCTATTAGCACAAGTGAAGTCCATCTGTTAAAGTCATAATCTTCTCCCCTGAGCTTTTAACCTCACCCAACTACTTAATCTTACTTTAAACTTATTAACAGTTACATTTCCCTTCACACACACGTATGCTTTTCTTCATGCTGCTTAATGGGACCTAGAGGTTAAAGATGTGGGCTGGTTTCTGAAAAGCAACAAAATTACTAAAACTTTAACTACAATTAAAATGAAAGAACATAAATAAAAACTATAATAGAAGTAAAACAAAACTACTTGAAATAAATGTTAACTGAAATCAAATATAAAAAATGTAAACTTTTAAGTTCAGCTCATCTTAATTTAGTTTAATTTGATGTGCTAAAATAACTACAAATAAAACTGAAAAAAGCACTACTAAAAATGACAAAAAATTGCTAAAACTTTAACTTAAATTAAATATGGAAAACCTGATTCAGAATATTAATAAAGCTATAATAGTTTCTCAATGATACTAAAATAACACTGGTTTTGTATGAAGTCATTTCTCCTCGAGTTGTTGTTTATGTTGTTTATTTCAGGCTATGAAGGCGAGAACTGTGAGCTTGACGTGGACGAGTGTGAAACGCAGCCGTGCGAGAATGACGGCGTATGTTTCCAGCGGTCCGACTCCAGCCACTACAGAGTTCTGCCTGAACTGGACACGGACTTCAGCTACGAGAGCGCAGCCGGATTCCTGTGCCAGTGCCGCGCTGGATTTACAGGTGAGACACAGCGCTGACGACGGCTCGTGACACTGAGACACAACATCGTCTTCTCAAAGAGCTGCTACTAACCTGTTACAATGCTTTCCTGTTACACAGGCGACAACTGTTCAGTTAACGTGAACGAATGCGAGTCCACGCCGTGTGAAAACGGAGGCACCTGTGAAGATCTCATCAATGCGTTTCAGTGCTCGTGTCCTGCGGGGTTCACAGGTGTGTAAGTGCGCTCCATATACCACCTGACTTCACTTCAGACCATTCAGAATAATGGCTGAATGCGCAACGTATTGTAGGTTCACTGGAAAAACATACCACTATTTACAGTTTTGCAAAACTCCGCAAACTGTGTTGTTTTAGTATCAGTGAGATACTATTATAGCTTTTATTTTAATATTCAGCATTTTCATTTTAATTTTGGTTAAAGTTTTAGTAATTTTGTTGAAACTAAAACCACAAAATAAACTGTTACTTGAAATTTTGGTATCATTAAGATACCATTGCAGTTTTATTAATATTTTGAATGAGCTTTTATTTTCATGTTTTTCATTTTCATTTTAATTATAGTTTTAGTAATTTTGTTGAAACTAAAACTAAAACAAAGAA